AAATTTAAAAATATTAAATTAAATAATTTTATATAAATTTTATTTTAAAATATTTAAAATATATTAATTTATAAATAAATATTTAAATTATAAAAATTTTAATATTTTTAATGTTTTAAATTTAATAATTTACTTTTACTTTTATTTTTTAACATTTTTTTGTTTAATATATATATTAATATATTATATAATAATTAATTTAATATATTAAACTTTATATTATTTAATAAAAACAAATATATTATTATTAAATTTAATAAAAATATTATTAATATAAATAAATTTATTAAAAATAAATTTATTAAAAATATATTTATTAATTTGCAATTAAATAATTATATTATAAATAATATATTTAAAAATAAATTATTTAATAATAAATTACTTAATAATAAATTATCCGGTAATAAATTACTTAAAAATAAACTTAATTAAAAAAAGTTTAATTATAAATTTAATAATATTAAATATAAACTAATTATATTTATAATTATTTAAATTAAAACTAATATTTATTTTTATAATAATATATTTTTATTTAATTAAAATTTTATTTAATTTTTTTAATTATAAACCAATTTAATTTATAAAATTAAAAAAAATAAAACTTTAATTAATTATAAATATATATTTTAACTATAAATTCCTTAACGTTTTATTTATTATAATATTTATTAAAATAATTTTTAAAATAACTTTTATAATTTTTTAAATATAAAAATTAATTTAATTAAAATAATATTATAAACTATTAAAATATTAATTTACATATTAATAAAAAAGTAATAAAAAAGCTATTAATAATTTTTAAAATTAAACGGTTTAACGTTATAAAAAATTAATTAAATTAATTATTATTAATATATATTAATTTTTTTTTCTTTTTTTTTTTTTATTTAATATAAAAATAACTTTTATATTATATTTTTTATATTAAATATAAAATAATATAATTAATAAACCTTTTTAATAAATATAAATTTATAAAATAATTAATTATTAAATTTTGATATTAAAATGTAAAAAATGTTTTTTTTTTTTTTTTTACATTATAATTAATAAAAAAAATAAAAAAAAATAACGTTTACATTTAAACCACAAATAAATTTAAAAGTTTAATCAATTAAAAATATAAATTTAACCGCATTTTATACCATTACTTTTTATTACTTTATTTTTATTAATAATAATATAATAATTATATTTAATAACCGTATATTTATAATATTTTAAAAATATATATATATAATATATTTTATTAATTTATTATAATTAATATAAAATTAAAACTAATCATTAATTTTATAACTTTTTTTACTAAAAAAAACTATTAATAATTAAAAAAAATAATAAAAATTTATTATTTAAATTATATCTTGCTATTACCACTTTTATTTTTTAATATAATTAATTTAAATAATTTATAATATATTTTATTATATTATGCTTATTATTTATTTTATAAAAATATATAAAATTTAATAAAAAAACGCAAATTTAATTTTATTAGTTTATATTTTATTAAATTTTTTAAAATAAATAATTCCCGGTTAAAAATTGTAAATAATATTATATTGTTAAAATATTACTATTTTTATATATTTAAATATAAATAAAATTAATTTCCAATTTTTTTTTTATTGTTTTTATTATTAACTATTAATAAATTTCTTATATTTAATCGTTTTTAAATTTATTAATTAAATATTTTTTATTTTTAATAAATTATTAAAATTATAATTTTTTTTAAAAAATTAATAAACTTTTTTTATTAATATTAACATTTTTATTATATTTAATTTATATAAAAAACTTTACTATATTATCAAAATATATAATTTTATTTAAAATATATATATTATATTTAAATCTGTTAATAATTAACTATAAATAAATAATATATGCATTTATTTTAACCGTAAATAAATATAAAATATAAAAATTTATTTATTAAATAAAATATAATTTTATAATAATTTTTATTTTTACTATAATTAAAATAAAATTATCTTATTTTTAAAAACTAATTTAAAATAAAAAAATCAATATTATTTAATTACATATATTTTTAACCTTTTTAAAAAAATTAATAATAATAATATAAAAACTATTATTTTATATTAAAACCAACACTATTTATTATTTTTTTATACTTTTATAAAATTTCTTTTTACTTAATTTACTTAAATTATATTTACCAATAATATTATTATAATATTTACCAATATTACTGCCAAATATATTAATAATAAAACAAAATATATTATTTATAAACTTATTATATTTAATAATAAAATAAAAAATATAAAAAAAAATATTTATTTAAATTAACCTTATTTAATTATTTACCAAAATAATTAATATTTACCAATTTTTTATTAAATAAAAATAAAACTATAATTAAATAAAATAAAATAACGTTAATAATTATTTTAAAATAATTTATTTATTACATATTAAATAAATAAAATAAAATATAAATAATTATTTTATTTATAAATACAATAAATTAATTTATTTATTACATATAAAATAATTAAAATAAAAATATAACAATAATTATAATAATAATAATTTTAATTTTATTTATAACGTTAATAATTATTTATTAAATAATAATAATTTTTTTAAAAAAAATAAACAATTTATTAAAAAATTTCGATTATATTTTAATTATAAAAATTATAACCATTTAAATATTAAAATAAAATCTATACTTTTAAAATATATTATATTTAAATTAATTAAATTTATAATAAACTTAATTAATAATATTAATTAAAATTTTAATTATAATGCCAATTATAATAACTTTAATTATATTTTATTAAAATTTAACATATTTAATAATATATTAAATAATATATTTATAAAAATATTTTATAACTTTTATATACGTTTAATAAATAATCATTTATAATTAAAACTTTTATTAATTATAATAAAAGTTTAAATAAAATATATAAATAATAATAAAAATTTAAATAAAACGTATAAACAATAATAAAAAATTAAATATTTAAATATATAAATAATAATAAAAAAACTAAATTTAAAATATTAAATATTTATAAAATATATTATTTATTTAAATCTTTAAATAATTATAATATATATTATTATTATTTAATTTTTAAAATTTTAAAATACATTATTTAAATATAAACAATTATTAATATAAACATTATATTTAATATTTATATCTTTTCATATAAATTAAATAAATAAATACTTTTTAACTAATAATAATTATTTATTAAAAAATAATTTTTAAATATAAAATGATTTTTACATCTAATAACCGTTTCTTAAAACTACCTTTTGCCGTTATAATATATTTCTCCGTGCCGTTACCTTGCTTAATTATTAGCGGGAAACTGCCATGTCTCAAGATCCGCATCTTTAGGACTTACCTTATCTCAGTAAACTCAGACCACATTTCGTAAAGGCGCGGGCTGCGCCCGCTTGCGCCACCTAACGCATGGCCCGTATGTTTATATCTGTAAGTCACGGGCATGCTATTTTACGAAACGTGGTTTAAGGCTAGCTTAGGCCCAAACGTTTATTGCAATAAAAATTTTGGTAATAAAATTTAAATATTATATTTACAATAATTTAATATAATATAATAACGTATAAAATAGTTTTAATTTAAATAACTTAAAATTAATAATATATTATATTTATTTGCTTAAACTTTTTACATATTTATATAACGTTACGTTATTATATTTTAGCTTTAAATATTAAAATTAACTTATAATAATAATACTATTATTACTACCATAACTAATAATATATATAAATAAAATAAAACGTATTATATTTTAATTTTAATATAATAACTTAAAGTTTTTCGCTTTTTTTTATATCCATATAACATTACGTTATAATATTATAAATTTTAACGTTTAAAAATATATTAAAATATAATTACTTATAATAACACTTACAATTATAACCATAATCACATATAAAATAATTTATTTTATATTTAAAAATAATAATATTATTACTTAATCCTTTTCGCTTTTTTTATATTCGTATAATTTTATTATATATTATATATTACGGCTATTATTATAACCGATATTATAGCTATTATTACAATTAATGTTATAATTAATTATAACCGTTATAACCACTTTTAATACTTTAAAAGATTTAAAATACGTAAATTTAATTAATAAATTTAATAATAAAGTTAATACAATTATATAATTAATAATTACTTATTATAATAACGCGTTAACGTTATTATTTTTAATAATTTTATTAATTAAATAATGTTAATATTATTTCCCGCAAGACGATTTTTTAGGAAAGACGTGTCTAAAATAACCTCAAACCAAAGTTTCGATTTTTTTTAAGGGGGTTATACAGGTTGTGATTAGTTAGGGAATAGTGTGGCTGTAGGGGGTACATCCCCCCGAACTAAAAATCGAAATTCTGGTCTGAGGTCACCTGAGATAAGACTTACCTTCATTCGTCCAGAACACAAAGAAGCGCGTCACTCAGCCACCAGCTGTTCCATCAGTAAGACATTCATACGCTAGAAATTATCGTCGTACAGTTTTCACGTATGTTTGAGTCCTTGATCTAGATAGAGGTTTATCTTTGCCAATAACACACACTTGATTTTACTCCGGGCTACCTTTTCGTACCACTAATGTAAATACATGAACTCAAGGATATGTTTGGTACATGAAGTTTTATGGAGAAACAATTCGCTCTCTATCAGGGGGCCATTCCTTTAGTCGTCCACAATTGTGCTCGATGATGACGAAGAATCATCCGCAATGCGTCTCCTACGCCAGAAGGCTAGTTTTTTGAACCATCCCACGACCGGCCATCTTCCGCGATGCGAACTCCTATGTGAACTCCCGTCCGAGCTCACGCTCGAATCGCGTCGCGATCTTGAGTTCCTATGGCAACTACAGGAGCAGCAGCCACAGCATCTTGCTCTTTGCGTGCTGACCATCGGAGGTACCATGAGGCCAGGGGGAGGTATTGGTCGCCTATTCCAAGCCCACCCAGATTCAGCCTCGAGAGATAGATCCAGCGCTAGGGAACAAACGTCCTCGAATTTGAACGAAGGGTGCCTAATCTCAACATTGCGTTGGCCCGCGTAGAAGTAGAGCCATTGCGCAGCTAACTTTATATATTCTTTTTCTTCCAAATCATCGTCCACGGACCAGGGGATCTGGTTCTGGACGCCGATGGTCGAGATGGCACCCTTCAAGAGAGACAAAGAGGCGGCATTTCCCAAAGGTGGTGCCTTCTTGAGCGTCTTAGCAGGCGGCAGTAAACGTGACAGACGGCACACACGCCATGTAAGTGAGTCCCACGTTGTTTCAAGAAACGGTGGAGGTGGTGTGACCTGGGATGTGGCTTCGAGTTGTCGAGCGCGTTTATCAAGTGCTTCCAAAGTCGAACTCAGCTCGCTTCTAGGAGGCGGCCTCCTCCCCTCCATGTAGGCAATCACACATGTGCAATAGACTTCCGCCATCTTCTCGGTGCTGGTAGGCCTATAGGTTATCCAATCCGAAGTAGAAGATAGGGATGATCAGTTCTAAGATCGGGTAGGACCGGCCGTTGATCTGCTTGCCCTTAGTGAACCCATCTAGGAGCGGAACGCGGCCTCTAAATAATGTCAGAGAGTTGTACGTCGAGCCTAGCCTCCTTTGAACGATAATGCTAGATGGCAAACGGGCTTACAGAGCTCATAGATAATGTGTATAATCTTGGCGTAACTCCATATTGGTCTTATTGGTCTCTCGTTGTTGTCTACTTGCAGCCTGCAGCAGAACAACGCAGTCCTGCATGAGACTTTCTCCCAGTGCGTCCCAGCGCCGTCATCAGATTGGCTAGAGAAGGTGAGGAGCGGACAGGCAGATTGATCAACAATATCACGCGGCCCCTGGTAAAATAGGCGCAATTCCAACTTGGCCCTCCGCAAAATGGCTCACCTCCTCTAACATTGCGCCTATTGAAGGGCCATACACAGATCTCGCTGTAGTCGCAACTGGCTGGGGCTCTTATCGAGGTAATGCGATACATAAGCCTCACTTTTAAGTGACATTTGACCTGTTCCCCGCAGATGACGCCCGGAAAGTTGGGATAGGCCCTCTTCGGCGAGATGCTGGCTCCGTGAACCCCGAACTTTTTCCTAAGTAGCCTTGTTGCATCTCCTTAGGTGAAAGTCGGCCGTATGGTAGGAAGACAATTCCTATGTAGTCCCCATAGGAACCCGAAATAAGTAGGATATAGTTTGAACCAGAAGGACATGGCGCCCTGAATTGGGCAGTAAAGTTCGTATTAACACAAACAGCTTCTAGGCCCTATAACCCCTTTCGACCGCGCTGAGGGTTTCCACGTGGTCTAGTTGCAACAAGCAGTTGTATCAAGCATTTTCTACTGGCCCTGATCTCTCAAAAGACATGTGCTTGATCTAACAGAGCCAATAGTATATCGATGATATATATACTTCATGGTTAATGTATTAAGTAACGAGACCATAGACCATCTTGGGCAACATTGCACATGTAGTTTTTAGGGAGAAGTTTGGGCTCCTGGAAGTTGCAACGGGCCGAGTATCTACCCAAGTAATAAATCGAGACGATGACTAAGGCAATCGCGATGTCGCGTAACCATCATGGAAGGAAACAACCATCTTCATTCATAATTAGGTAATTGGCCCATATTTTATTCGATATTATAAGAATTCCGTCAAGTAAGCGAGCGCATTACAACTTATAAAAAAAAAACCCCCCCCATTTCTAAAAGGCGTGCGCTTTTTGCGCTTCGTCTTTGTCTTTCGCTTATAACGCATTGCACCCGGCCTAAGCACTCATCGGCCTCTATGGCGCAGTGGTAACGCGTTGCACTTGTAATGCAAAGATCCCTCGTTCGATCCGGGGTGGAGGCAGTGAAAGAACCTGTTCAGTCCATGCTTGGTCACGACCTAGTCACAGCACTAGGAAGTTACTGATTATTTTTTGGTGATAAACTCGCCAAGTTAGGGTTACAAGTGGAGGCTGTTCCACTGAGTTTTTAAGTTGACTTTTTGCTGCTTGTATTCTTTACAAGCAAAACTCGCGTAGATGCATTGTTCATAGTTTTAGGTACCTAAACTTACCCCTTTTCCGCCAGTTGATACAGGACATGTCATGCTGCCATACCATCATACTTATTATGGAAGCGTACTTTCTATGACATCCTTTCGAGATAAAAGTGTACCATATTTCAACTAAATTACATGCTACTCTTCCATCAACAACATCCAATAAGCTTGTGATGAGACGTGAAGTTACACTAGCACATTTAAATAAAATACTATTGCAGATAGCTTTCTACAAACCGGCACATATAGAAGCTTCCACATACGGGATAGAGGACGTCGGAGATTTATGGCTAGCGTGAGTAACAAGACTTACTCAGGGCGAGACTCTTGAACATAAGTCTAATACCTAACACCTAGTTTGAGCCCTGTTCGAATGTGCTTCTTTACGAAGACATATCATAAGTTCATAGTTCTTAATATGTGTCTCACAAGGCGAGGCTTTGGCTGCTACGCTCACACTAAGCGACCATGATGCCCTTGCAAGCCTTTGCCTAATTCATTCTTCACGATGTCCCCGTCACTGATCTGGAACCCAGGTAACTAGATCATCTCTACGCCGTTCCTCTGTTCTCCTCCATCTTGAGAGTCTTTCTTTGAGCTGTGATAGTTTTATCCATCTATGGATAGTCCTTAAGCGATAAACTACATAGGGGTATTCCCATAGACAGTCTTAAGAAATCCGGAAATCATACTCATAGCCTGGGTATCAGGCCATCTATCTCAGTTTATGTGTCATTCGATTCAGAAATGACGATTTGCACTTCGATTGTTAAGAAGGGAGGTAGGTCTAGTTGCTGCTTTCTCGAATTTGAGTCAGGATGGAATAATTTCCTCTTATTTAATAGACACCAAAATCCTAACTCTTGGTAAAATCTGATTGGGAATATATTACAAGTGCAATACATATACGGATTATGCAATCTTCTATTACACGTATATATAGAAGTGGAATATTCTGTGCACATTCAACCTGGGGACCAGAATACTAATAACCGCAGCAGAGCCTTACTAGCCTTGACCTTGGTCTTGAGGAGTTGACCAAGATTAGAGGTTCTCCTTACATATATAAGTGCTAAGGTGACACCAATTTACTTACTAAAATACACGTGTAACGTTTTTATTATTGCATGAGGCTCTCATACTCACGTTACTTTGAAGCATAGCCTCCCGCTTCTAGAAAATAGGCGAGACAGGGACTTCGCCAACCCAGTCCTGAACTTCCCTTCAAGCGACAGGCTGAATAATATATTCACCACATTTACCATAGTATTAGCAAAGTAGCATCGAGTCCTCGGTGCCGTCTAAGTGGTTTTCAGAGAGGCAATACCATATAAATAAAAGACCTGAATGTTTCGTTCGTAGCCTAGCCTTCGCCCGGGACCGATGCTCCAAGCTGACCATGTGCCAAGAAAAGCAAATATCTTCGACTGCTACCTTAACCTGCAGCCTTTCCACTACCGCATCATGAAATAATATTTGCTGCGGACCCCGCCTCTCTGCAGCCACCATTGCTACCTTAGCAATATGATAGATAGTATCTCATATGACATGTAAGGCTAGCCAGTGAAGACGTGATATCGTCCTCCCGCCATTTCTTTTTGGCTTTGTGGCGGTTATGTTCTTCTCTTTCGAGAAAAAATGGCGTCTGGAGATCTAGATATAATCTTGATTCTCGAAAGTTGCAGCATCGTAGTCCTTTTACGGTTCCCGGGACCGAGTCCTCTTGTATACCCACCCGGCTCGGACAGGGAGAATAGAATATTCACCGCACTAAGACGGCGCAGTCCCCGTGCTGCATTACAATCCTTCCGCCCCCCTATACCGGATCGGTAGCCGTCAACTTTAGTCACCGTCCAGTAATATCCTAGACCGTAGCCGTGCCCTCTCAAACCCCATGCAGAGCGCTGCATGAGCTATCTATTTCCTTCTTAGGAAACACAATATATCAGATCATGAATTTACTATTCAAATAAGGTTGTCTCCAAAGATCTCTTTTGAACAAAATCCTCCGGGGAACTATACCCGTTAGCCTCGTGCCCCCTTTCTCTTTGAAAATTTCCCCAACCTTATGTTTCCTTGCTTAAGCCCTTGATGTTACGAAAGTGCTGTCTCTGAATGAGACAGTTTGAACAACGGCATTATAGCACAATGACGCCTCTACGGGCTATTCTCCCTATGCTAGCGTTGATCGCCTTGACCGTCGCCTCTCAGAACCTCACCACGTACCTACCGGAGTGTGCCCAGCCGTGTATTGCGTCGTCAATTAGCAAAAACTCGAACTGCACCGGATCTGACGATGTCGAATGTCTGTGTAGCAATATCCGGTATATAGGGCCCGGCTCGTTACCCTGTGCCCAGGGGGCATGTTCTAACTCTTCAGAGCAGCTCGCGTGTATGTGCTCACCATCATATATCATTACCGCAGCTTGATTATCTGCGTCAAGAGGCAGAGCTAAATATATCGTGTACAGACAAGTTGCATTCAGAATTTGTAAATTACTGTAGCGATAATGGGGAAGAGGTTAGCAATGATCTTTCAGGAGGCGGATACCCGCCAGTTTGGACCGCTACATGGGGTAAAACCTCATCACCTACTACGTCGGCAACAAGCATGACCTCACCGGTCGCCGCCACCGAGCCGCCGAGCAACGAGCAGCAAAGCCCTTCAAGTACAGGCGGAGGCGGTTTAAGCGGGGGTGCTATAGCTGGGATAGCCGTTGGGGTGGGTGTCGCATGCATCTCGATTACGGGAGGGCTGCTATTCTACGCTTTCCGACTAGGTAGAGGCCATCCAAAACGTAAGCAAGGAGAAGAGCCTGCGGGTCCCAGCCCACAAGAAGAGGGCGGAGGAGACTATGATGGGATAGACAACATATTGGAGGCGGAGAAAAAGGTACAACTGGAGGGTGCACCAGTGAACGAGCTCCCGACGGAGCATACGCTGTCTGGATTCCATCCCGTCAAAGAGCTAGCAACGCATGAGAAGCCGATCGAGCTGAGTGCTGATCCCGTCCCACGTCGTGCGGATGATGGGAGCCCAATATTGCCTACGTCTTGGAGATGATGTCGAATGACCACCCATTGGATAAACATGAAAATAAAAAAGAGAAGTTCCGAATATAGTAGATACCCGTGCCTGGTTAGCGCATATATATAATACTAAATTGGTAGATAGGGGCCAGACGCTTAGGATTAATTAGAAGCCCATCATAACCATCGATGAATACCTTATTATATACAGGGATAAGGTACATAAGGCAAAGTCTTTGATATACACACATTATCCTTCCTATGCCTAGCGTAACGATTTGGTACCCGCTTCAGCTATTGTAAGCAAGTAGAGCATGCAAGTAGCTGTGAGTTCTCATACACTCGTAGATTAGAAGGCAGTTTATTTTTCTTCGTAAATCTAAACTACAAGCTACCTGTCATACTGAACCCAAACCTCCGTAACGCCGGTCCTCCAATGCCTAACCTTGCTGTTCTCGGACACGTCGGGGTACCCACTTTCCAGGAGCACCGGAAGGCTTCAGAGTCTCACCAGAAGCCTGTGTGGGAGCCGGCGCGGGCGCACTGTCCCTGTCTCTGGATCCACTCTGGGCACCACCGGCTGCCTTGGCAGCCTCGCGCTCACGCCAGGAGGGTTGCTTTCCTTGAAGGGGTAATCGGGGAGGCCCAGACGCGCGCTCGGCAGGACGCTCACGTTCGGCAGGACGCTCACGTTCGGTAGGGCGCTCACGCTCTGTGGGGCGCTCACGTTCGGCGGGGCGCTCGTTAGAATCGGTGCGCTCCATGGGAGTACCGGTACGACTTGGCCCATTGCTACCGGCGGCGCCAGCATTCTTCGTGGCTTCGCGATCACGCCAAGACGTTTTGACACCAACAAGAGGAAGACGCGGAGGTCCAGAAGGCCGATCGTTGGAATCGGTACGACCCATGGCAACTGGCTCGCGTCTGCTGAATTGTGTGCGCTCTTTTTCTTTCTCCGCTTGTTTTCTGGCCATCGCCTCTTCGGCAATTCTCTCTTGAAGAGCTTGTTTCTCTTGAGCTTCTTGACGCTCCTTGTCTCGCTGCTCCTTGATTCTGATTAGTTCTTGGCGCTTCGCCTCGGCGCGCTGCTCTTGCTCTTTCTTCTCCTTCTCGGCGCGTTCCTCAGCCTCTCGCAGGGCTCTCTCCTTTTCTTCCCGCTCTCGCTTCTCCCGCAGCTTACGCTCGCGGTATTCCTTCTTGCGAGCTGTAATCTGCTTCTCCAGTTCTCTTTCGGCATCACGTTGACGCTTCTCGAACTCATCACGGCGACGATCGTGCAGAGACTTCCTGAACGACTCATAGTAGGGCATGAGTCGGGTTAGACGATGCTTTAGTTCAACACTTTGTTTGTGTTTCTCCTCAGCTTCCTGCAACGTCTCTGCCTTCATGGCCTCGTATGCGGCCAAGTCGCGCTCTCGCTGCTTAGCATAGTCTTCAGGAAGCTTCTTGACCTCTTCTTTCCTAAAAGCACGCTCAAGATGGTCAATACGCTTGCCGGTGATCCGAAGCCTTTCATTAATATCATTCTTTTCTCTTTCGAGCTGGGCAAGCTTCATGGCACGAAGACGGTTGCTGTCATAATCGTCGATGTTCTCGATATCAATGTCAATAGCATTTGGACCAATCTTAAGGTCGGCGATTTGTTTCTTAAGTTCCTCCCTGCGGACACGGTCTCTTTCGTCTTTGAGGCGCTTCTCCTCACGCTCCTTCTGTTCTTGAGCCAGCCGTCGCTCCTCAGCTTCGGCCAGTGCTTGCTCCTGAAGTCGCTTCTGTCTTGCCTTTTCCTTTTCTCTCTTCGCCTGCAGCTCGGATGCCTCTTCCTTTCGCTTCTGGATAATTTCCTTACGGGCCAGAATCTCACGATGCTCCTGCTCAGCGCCCTCCTTGGCTCTGGCCAATGCGGCTTGTCGAGCTTCTCCTAGGCGCTGTCGGTAAGACGGATCAACATAGAAGCAAGTCGTGTATAGGGTAGTCGTGAGCCGAGTCAACTGCGAGCGGACAATCTCCGAAGGAGTGTTTTGGAGGCGCTGCACAGACCCAACGGGGCTTTCTGCAGAACCAGCTGCCGAGCCAGCATGAACAGCCTTCGAGGAAGAGAATACATCCTTATCGAAGCTAAGTACTCCGGTAGCGTGGTCCATGCGAATTGAGAGATCACCTTTCTTGTTTCCATTCATGATGAACTTTTCAATAGTTCCACGAGAAATCTGGAAAGGATCCGGAAATTTGGCAAGGCTCTCCACAAAGGCGAGGTCAACAGACTCGTATACCTGAGATAATTGCTGAAACAATCGAGTCAAGATGACTTGTTGGAGTGGCAAGATGTACTTCTCCATTTCGGAATCAGCGCTGATCTTGGTTAAAATGGGAGAAATCTTTTGGCAGATAGATAGAGGGTGGAAATCGACCTCGAGAATGTTGTAGAGGTCCCTGATCTCCGGGCGCGCACGCTTCAGAAGTGACTTAGAAAGAGCATCGAGGAACAGGCCGGCACGAGTAGGCGCGCTGGCCATGCCTAGTAGATGGGTGAGGCGCGAGTTCTTGTTCTTCTTAGCCTCGTCAAAATCCACCATGGCGCCCCGAGATCGAGAGGTGCTGATGACAGGAATCGAGAGAGCCGACAGAACAACAAAGGAAGCAGCCCTCTGGAGGTCGGCCTCTGTGGCAGAAGGGTTGTCGGGTTTCTTACTCTGGCCGGTCGCTACAAGAGCTGCGGATTGTCGGAGAAGAGAGTAGTATCGGGACCAAGCGGCAGCATGGAAGAGGTAGTTCTCACCGACGAGGAAGATTCGAGTGAGTTTCTCGTAGTAGTTGGCCATCATAATGTTCTTGGGAGGCCGCTTGCTAAGGTTGAGAAGAGTGTGGATATCTTCAACACTTCGGAACGCTTCCTGCCAGAGCTCAAGTTCGACGGCGACATTTAACTGCTGAAAGCGAGTTTCAAGATGTCGTTGTAGTGTGTCAGGGTCGTTAAGGTTGATGGCATGCATCTGACTCGAGTATTTGGCGGCGGTCTGGACATGGTTGCGCAGAAGCTCGCAAAGTCGTCGGAACTCCGTCTTTCGCTGGTACTTAAGGCAGAAGTCGAAAGCTTGGGTAGCGGTACTCTGGTAGAGAGTCTCTAGTCTGGCATTGTTTCGGAGGATATCGAGGACGGTACGGTAGGCTTCCCAAAGAAACTTGAGCCATGGTGTGACGACAGCACGCTCGGTGCGGTCTCTAGACTGCTCGCCAGAGACTGTGGCTAACAGAATGGACTCGGGGGTTTCGCTGGCTTCCAAATCATCGATACTTGAGGTAACGGTGGCTTCGATGCTTTCTTGCAACTCATCTGCTTTCTTCTGTGCCTCTGTAACCTTTTCTGCGGCCAACTCAATAAACTTCTTGAGTACAAGTTCGATGGTGCTGATGTTGGTGTTCTGAGCGATATTCTTATAAGAGTAGAGCGCATCTTTGGCGAGTTTTCCCTTCTTCTGCTCGACGGACAGCTCGACTAAGAGGAGCATCACAGGCTCCAAAGAGGCGATGGGGACATTTCGTGAACGTTTGGATGTAATATGATCGTGGAGAAGGTTCAGGGCGGCGGGAGCCTGGTTGACACCGATGAGCTCTTGCGCCCGCTTGAGAACATTCTCAGGCTTTTGGTGGGGTGGCGGCGGCATCTTGGGCAATCTCCTTGATTAAAAGGGATTGGGGAGATTGATGCTACCGGGTGACGACGGTGAAAAAAACCGCGATGTCTGATGATGAAGAATTTGGATTTGTGCCACTTTCTGTGGGTTTTCGAAGGCGAGGGGCACGGGCTAAATTTTGCTGTCACGTGATTTAGGTGGGTTGCCTTGAAAAGTGCTTGTGTTACGTACTTCAATGTTCCACTTGCGATTGGGATTGGGATTACGTAACTACTGGATTTATACTTGCCTTAGGTAGTATTTAGAAACTTTACTAAATCAACATCGAATTACCGGCGATTTAGGGCTGAAGCTTAAAGAAGATACCTTCATCCCATACTATTCTTATCTATTCTCTAATTTCAAGATTCAAGATAACGCCATCGTAGTTAATATAGGCGATAAGGTACATATATAGTCTAGTCCCTTTCCCCAGCCAAGGAATATGTATAAGTCCTCATAAAGGATATGAAATATTACATCAAGTTTGTTGGCTTTCACAAGTTGTTGTGAATCACAACACCGCCTTGCCTGAAAAGTTCCGTTTGCCAACATTTCTTTCAACGCTCAGGATCATTGCAACATGATGGCTTAACGCTACGATCTCTCCCTCCACATCCCTTATCAGCATATCGAGATCGAACCTCCCATCCTTGATCTGCTTTGACGTGATCCGCACGGCTAACCACTCAACGCCCTCCTCCGGCAGAGCCGTTTTCGCCTCCAGGTTCATCACCACTGTCGGAAACAACAAGGCTGCGCGCTGCTTGTTTTTCTCTTGTAGCTCCTCTCGCTGGGCTTGCTTTTCTGTCGTCTCGCCTGGGTCCTGCTGCGATTCTAGGAGCTGGCGTAGCTCGGGTGCTGCAAGGAATAGGTGTAGGTTGAACGGGAATGAGACCGCCACGTACGCCAGGGCGCTCTGCGTGATACACTCCCCGCTCGCCAGCCGAATCCACATATCCAAGACCCCGGGCGTTAGAGCGCCTGCGCGAGGAAGGTAGAAGTGCCAATTCAGCAACGAGCGTACAAATCTAGAGGGCCCGGGAACCTTTGACTCTTCCCAAGCGCCGTCGCTGCCGATGGTCTTAAGCGCCTTGAAGTCCGGCAGGGGAGGAAGCGCTGCGGCGGGCGTTCCTTCGTAGCCTGTCGGTAGCGAGATACCAGCAAAGCTCCGCAAATCCGCGTGGGTTGTATAAGCGAGCACAGTACATCGCGAGACAGACGAAGTGATCCATGGTGCTTGTGAGAGTAGTTACCCAGGCAGAAGGCCTCGTTAAGATAGACTTTATACGTGTGCGAATCCAATTTCGTGACCTTTATGGCTTCAGAAAAAGGGATGTAGGTCCCTTCTACCTTATTTGAGGACTTGGCGAGACTCTCTGATAAACTCCTACTAAGGCCGGAATGACGTCCAACAAAGCTAGAAAGGGGAAGCCGAAGCTGTTCTGAAGTTGATGTGCTGATGTGGTAGAATCATCGAGTACAAAAACATAAGTTTTATATGCTATTTGAATATCCCACTTCTGCATATGAGCCTCGGTATCGCTATTTTGTGGCACAAAGGTAGGGTTGCACAGTCGGCGGCATACTGGGGATTTAGAAGTCTTGCAGGTAAGAGGATGTATCTACAAGATTACCTATAGCGTATGTCGAAACACAATCTCCTGAGATGAATTTTCAGTATGGCCCCAGGGCAAGATCCGTCCGAGCACTCCTAGGACCTAAACCAAGCACAGGGACGAACAAGAATAATAAGGCAATTAATTTATTCTTTTGCGTTTACTAGTACTCCGTAAAGATGCATGTATAGGTACTTTAAATATCATGTGACATGTGACATGTGACAATTATGTATTTATGTAATACTTCGTTATGTACCTAAAGAACCTTTAGGTAAAAATTCAAGCGAGCTTATTTCAACGTCTCTTATAATGATTTATCTAAAGGAGAATGTGCTACCTTATACATGTGTGACTTATACTTACCCCAAATGGTCACATTGTCTTACCCGATGATGGCAATATTGGTGAGCATGCGAAGTCTTTCAATTTGCCTTCACGAATCCTATCTAGTTGGGTATATCTAGGTATTTCGTGCATTTGTACCTCACATCGCTCGTAACCGCCGTGTTACCCCGTACGGTCCGAATAGCGCCACTCCACTCCATAGGTAAGAATTGGTTCAATACAACGAGTCCTCGGCTTGGGAAGCAAGTAAGGCTGAGGTTTAGTTTAATGGAAATAGATACTGTACTCTGTACTTAGATGAATGTCTTTAAGAATGTCATAAACTCTGCTTCTTTTTACCTTTCGCACTCGCCTCAACGAGAACAATACTTTCACCATGGCTGTTGAAGAACAGGAGATTGCCATTGTTGGCTCTGGATGTCGGTTCCCCGGTAATGCCACTTCATCGTCCAAACTTTGGGCCCTTCTGCGCGAACCAAGGCTTGTGGCAAGCCAGGTACCGGCCCTTAAAGGATATTACTAAGAAGATGGACAAGACCACGGTCATACCAACGTCAAGGAGGCATACCTTCTGACGGCAGAGGGAGAAAATCGGCGCTTCGACGCTGCCTTCTTTGGAATCAGCCCGGCCGAAGCAAACGTACTGGACCCGCAGATCCGCTTGCTCCTCGAGACCGTCTACGAAGCGCTCGAGGCCGGTGGCCAGACTATTGATAAGCTAAAAGGGTCCGACACGGCAGTATATGCCGGCCAGATGGTAAATGATTATGAGCTTATTATGTACCGGGATCATGATAACCTCGGCAAATACCATGCTACTGGTACGTCACGGACTATGCTCTCTAACCGGGTCTCCTACTTCTTTGACTGGCGCGGTCCATCCATGACCATCGATACGGCATGTAACTGCCCTGAAGCTTTGCGAAGACAATCCCGCTAAACTAGTTGAGATTCATGATATGAATATCGTCTCAGGCCTTGTGTTTGATCCGGATGATGTGAGTATAGAGATCATTCTTTCCCTGGCGAATATCGCGAGACGTAACAAAGAAACAATCGAAGCGGATTTCAAATATCATGCGACATCTGGGAAGGGTACTGACCTGCTCGAATTAAAAGCCAGTGGCCGTGTACGAATTCACTTGGGCCAACCCTGTCATACCATTATTCCTCCTCGGCTTGCCAGCAAGCTCTCAGATGTTCTCCGGCCATATTGCAGCAGTATTAGAAACGTTCACTCGTTACTGGATTTTGTCAGCATTGACATTTCGTCCAATACGGTCGTCCTAAGTTTGACAGATTTAGACACTTCAATCTTCAAACGGCTTAATAGTGTAGGGTGGGGGGCCTTGAAAAAAATAATTCTCCTGGCAGGAACCCTCATCTGGATCACTCAGGGCCGGCTTGCCGATAACCCATATGCGAATATGATGCTAGGCCTCATTCGTGGTGCGGCGCGCGATAACCCGACTCTCGATTACCTCCTCCTAGATACCGAAGACGCTGATAGAATCGACCATTGTGTTATTGCAGAGACTATGTTGCGATACATGGCCGCGTCTCAGTGGTGGCAACGAGACAATATGAAGCTTACTGTCGAGAATGAGCTCGTGCTCGATAAAGCAGGCCGACTCTTAATACCTCATATCGCCGGGTTCTGAAGCTCGACTTTTGTGGCTGATAGCCCATCACTTGCTTGCGTCTGTTGTCTTGAGGGGCTTGTCGAAGGACGATAAAGTACTGGTCCACAATCCTAGCCGTGAATTCGCCTCGATCATAGCTGAACAAGCGACACTTGGTGTGCAAATTACCTTCATAACCACAAATGCTGATGCTTTGGAGATAGAAGATCCCAGCTGGTTGACGATCCACCCCGCTACCCCGAAGCGGGATATAGCACGTCTTGTACGTCCTGGCTATTCTGTCTTTGTCGATATGACGTATCTTACGAACGTTGAGTCAATTGTTGACCGTATTGCGTCTACATTCACGGCCTATTGTAGGAAAGACAACCTTAGGTCCTTGTTTGGCAAAGTGGCTTGGGATATGACAGAATTACACGCGGAAGAGGTCCGTAACCGCTTTACGAAAGTCGTTGCATGGGCTTCTACCGTAGTAACAGAGTCTTCCAGGCCGGCATGGGGGCATATCCCCATCGTTCCTATAAATGCCATTCCCGAAGACAGAGACAGACTGGCACCGCTTGTTGTGGTTGAATGGAGTGCAAGTACTGAAGTCTCCGTCAAAGTTCAGCCAGCAAGAAGAACACCAGCTTGTGTGGGAATCATGGCCACGGATGAGTCACTTGGTCCAAGGCTGTAAAGAAGTAGACGATCCGGCCACAACTAGTAATCGAGCCAATTTCCCGGTCAAGGCGTTGCTTGAAAAGGCACAGAGCCGCGAACAAGTTTACAATATTATATGGGACGCTTTCACTCGTAAGCTTGGTTCGTATTTCCAATTTGACGCTGTCCGGATGAATAGTACTGAGCTGAGTGCTACGCGCTTCGACCACATGGGTATCGATTCTCTCACAGCAATAGAAATTCGCGGTTGGTTTATGATGACTCTTGAAGTTAACACCCCAGTTCTCAAAATTATGAATGGCGGTACTGTCGGTGAACTAGTCACCGCTGCAACCGAGACTATTCCTTCACGATTGCTTCTGAGCTTGGATAAGTCCTCTGTAAAAGATGACACCTCTGCAGCATCCTCCAACAGCCAGAAGACAACCCATGGTTCAGGTATAGATATCGAGAGGCCAGCTGCTTTCTCTCAGGAAAGATTTGGCTCAAATCTTGACTTGGTCCAAGATTATCCAAGAGCTACAAGCTCTGGTTCGGTTATCCAAAAATCGCTCCCCGTGTTACACAAGCGAGGTTTTATCCTTCGGGGCTTTTCCTAGAAGATAGGGTTGGTCTCAACCACACCGCTTGGGCTCGCAATATAGGGAAAATATATCTCGTGAGGCTGACAAAGGCTGTGCGCGCTCTAGGCCAGCAGCACGAGATCTTGAGGACGGCCTTCTTCGACCAAGATGGAAAGCAATTGCAACACATCTTGGAGGTCACCCTCCTACACCTAGAACACCAGGAGATTGAGAGCGAAGAGGAGGTAGAAAGGATAGCCATGTCTATCCAAAAGGATTACATATATGATGTGGCACGGGGAGAAACATTGCGGCTGATCCTACTCACTCGCTCAGAAACAGATAACTATCTTGTGGCAGGTTTACATCCTCTTGTTATTGATGCAACATCGATCCAAATCCTATTGAAGTGACTTACATTTCACTATACATACCCTCATATGAGTCGTCAGGTAAAACAGTTCGCGGAGGCCGAGTTACAGTACTGGAGAAAAGAGTTCGCCACGACTCCGCCTTCACTACCTCTCCTGACATTGGCAAAAGTGGATGAACGTCCCGTTCTGAAAGCTTATCAGAACATCCGAGCTGGTTGTAGAATCAGCGTAGACACGAAGGCACAAAATTTCCACATATGCCGTCGTATCCAGGCCACTCCCTTCCAATTCTACCTGGCTGCCCTGCGAGCTCTGCTGCTACGGTATACGATCGGTGGCGAGGACATCACCATAGCCGTAGCCGAGTCCGGAAGGACCTACAATGTCGAAGACATGGATGTCATCGGTCCGTTATATAATCTCGTTCTCGTGCGTCTTTTGAGTCACAGATCTACCAAATTCGAAGAATTGCTGGAAGCTACGCGTAGCAAGACTTTCACGGGCATGGCACACTCAAAGCTCCCCTATCCGATGCTCGTGAAGGAGTAAGTCCTCCTGGTCCAGCCAGGAATGACCGTGGGTGAGGTGGATTTGCCTAACTCTTGAGAAGGCATAGGTCTTAAGCAGCGTGATGACGAAAACTAGAAACGAAAAGCGTTTCTTGAGAAAGAGGAGTTAGATCAGGCTGCTGAATGCATAGCGAATCTCTTGGTAAATGATGTAGAGAAGCGCTGGTAGTGAGGACATAGCGCTGAGCAGCCTTTGATCGAGGTACAACGACTCTCCTTTACGGGCACATCCGAATAGCGAAATTGACCCAATTAGACGCTAATAAAAATGGTCCGGGAGGAAGTTCGGGAGGAAGTTTTACACAGATTAGGTACAGATTAGGTAGATGACAAATTTGGGATTTCTTGGCTGGGCAAAAGACTTTTTTAGTATGATATACATATTCATCATTAGGGGCATAAATCATGCTAGGCTCCGTCAGGTAAGGCTTCGGCTGCGGGTAATACAGGTAATAAGGCATGTACGGAATATGAGGTAAGCAGTAATAAGGAGGAAGAGCAGCCTTCAATGCCTACCTAGGTACCTAGGTACAAATCCCTAAAAGGCCCGTGCCTCTAAATTTACTCAATTTACTCAATTTACTCCCCCTTAGCGAACTATCCCTCAAAACGGGCCCCAATTTCCCAGCCTGCAAGTAGAGCCCCATATTCAGATCCTCCTAACCAATAATAAATCAGGTAGGACTCTAGGGACTCTAGGCCAGTGCTACGCCGTACTTTCGTACCATCTTTAACTCGCCAGCCAAACTCTTTCTTACTTCCCCAGCTTCCATAGTCTCTCCTTCATGTTCCTGTTCGACGACCCGACCAACCCGTTCTGACGTTGCGCCTCTTCGTCGCCCCGAAGCTTCTTTGCAAACTTGTCCTTTGTCTCGAGATCGCCTTAATTTGTAAGTACTTATTCGCCTTCTCCAATAAACAACTTGTCTCCATTAAATAGCCCGAATCCGACACGGACGAATTGGAAATTGGCTAGCTTCCTCCTTGCATCCCTCCCTTCCGATAGGGGTATAGAGCTGCAAAGAGCGCGAATATAACACCAATTCCACTGGTTCGCGAACGAACATTCAATAAGCATTCAATAAGCAATGAGACATGATCATTAGTAGCTATATTTTTACTAACCTAAAATCATGTCGTCGATAGACATTCACGATTCTCAGACGTCGGGAGGCGCTGCAAGTGGTCCAAGCACACAGCCACCATCTTTAGAACCCCGACCAAGGACCGATTCCATCCCTCCTCCGTCTACCACCGCCATCAATATGCCTCAATATACTTCCCGAGATGTCGGCGACCCGTCGCAAATCAAGAAGAACAAGCAGTCAATGGCCGACCTTAAATTGCGACGATTGACTGAGCTTAACAGTAGGCTACGGGAGGACTTGGAGCGAGAACGAATTCCCGTGTCGCAGGCAGCCAGAAGGTGAGAGGCCAATGCTGACACTTTACCAATTATCTACCTATTAACACGATGCGAAGCATCATCGCGTATTGCAATAGTACGAGAGATTACATGGTCCCGTCGGTATGGGGAGCCGTCCCTAAGGGAGAGGATCCATACGCGCCTCCTCAAAGTGGTGGGTGCTGTGTGGTCATGTAGAGCGGGATACCATGAGCAACTCCAGTTAGGAAGACGCACGGGATGCAACGTGTTCTCTGGGATTTACGTCGCGATGAGGCTCGCAGGTTAGGGCGCCTGATTTTTTTCGACGATAGCCAGCCTCTTTTTATCTATCGTGTCCTACGTGAGACTTAATTTTCTTACGCATCACCGGGAAGAAGGAGTAAGGAGGAGTAGGAGGAGCAAAATAACAAGTAAAAGAAGGAGAAGGGGGATGATAATCCGAGAAAGAAAAAAAGGCTATTACACAATACCCAAGAGTCGATGACAATCGACCATGTTACGATAATTCGCCAGCCGGCATAGTGCGATACTTAGGTTTTAGGTACTCTCATGTGCCGGAGGGTTGATGGACTGGCAGTTCCATCATTTGGGGGACGGAGAGAGAGTACGGGAGAAATTCCAACATGTAATATTTGTTCGTTCATGACTGTATTGTTCCTATTTCTTTTGTTGAGTCTGTGTCGCTATTCGATGAATGACAACATTCCCTTGTTTATGACTATACTCTACAGGTTTACGGCGGCTACATTTGGATTCAGCGGGAACGTTGATTCTCCCGACACTTTACCTACATATGTTCTCGTACTATATTTAAGTCTAATTGCAATCGTAATCCATCGACAAAGAGATCCTTCTCCACGATCCTAGCTACCTATAGATCGCAAGCAATAAGGCTGCCGCGAAAGATCCACCATATGCCCTGTAGACCTGTAGACCTGTAGGCCCCTACCTTAGGTAGGTAGGCATCTATCCATCCGTCCATCGATCCCACCTGATAAGTTCATCATCTCCAACTCGCCATGCAGATAAACTAGCGGTCTGGCAGTGCTCTGCAGCCTCTGCTTACCTACACTTTCCTACGCGGCCTATCTCACATACAAAATGCATATAAATATCTACGAAATCCGGGTACTAAATATGCACGCGATTGCTTACGGCTCTAGTGTGTGCCCAGCCCAGCCAGAGAGTTGTGCCCGCAGCGAGCGGCAAATGGATTTTCGGCCCCGAGGGTATAAGACGTAAATGTAACGCTCGCGCCTTTCGCGGTTTATACATAATCCGCGCGTGTCTCGTTTTAACAGTCTTGCCTACCTACTCTCATGTATCAAGGAAGGATCTACGTGGGAATCGTGCGAGGAAGATGAAGAGAAAAAATAAATAAATAAATAACTAATAACATTTGAGATAACGCGATTTTAGCTCGAGAACATTAATGGAGCCTTGTTATACTCTAAATAGGTAGGTAGGTGCCTCGTACATATGTACCGTGGAGTTCACTTGAACCAGCGCGTTGGAATATGTTGCCCAATCAACGTTAATAACGGTTAACTCGATAGCCCCTCGTTACCGGAGGTAGTTGCGAGTTTTGAGGGCAAATAACATGCGGACTAGACCTCCAATTGGTCTTATCTTAGCTCATCTATATTCCGTATAGGTAGGTACATATGTATGTATGTATATATTACCTTAGGTAAGGTACATCTCTCCGGTACAACACATCTTCTCACCATCAATCGTCATAGCACCCCCCCACCAATAAACTTCCATGGGAAATCGGAATCTCCTATGCGTACATAACATAATGTGGCATTGTAACGATTCGGAATACTACCAGCCTCAGGGGATATATACCCACCACCCATCTTAAGACATTGATTGATATAAGACAGACCAATTCCCACGATCGTTCATATAAAGTCACGTTGACAATGGCTGAGACATCAACATCAACCTCAACCTCAACCTCGACTTCGACCTCGACTTCAGGCCCCGCATCGTCACCACAATCTCCATTTCCACTACCTCGTATCACCATTCGATTCTGTACACAATGTAAATGGATGTTGAGAGCCGCATACGTAAGTCCAGTGTATTATATCTTACCCAGTACCTCTAGCTCCTTTCACCCTGCTTTCCTACTCGTCTTATACCATGCGTGTCGGTAATATGTGATATCAGCCCACCAGTCTCAACCCCACGAGCCCCGCCATATTACTCTACATATATCTATATATATAGACATACAGCACCCCCTTACCAACCTTCCCACCGAGCTCCAACCAACACCGTTAACAATACTCTCACATAGTTCGCGCAAGAGCTCCTCTCAACCTTCTCGACCTCCCTCGGCGAAGTAGCCCTGCAGCCCTCCACAGGCGGGACCTTCGTCGTCGAGATATTCTTCCAGCAGCCCAACACCACCACCACCACCATCACCACCAATTCCTCTCCCACCACACAGCAGCGTGTACTCTGGGACCGCAAGACCGACGGCGGTTTCCCCGAGACCAAGGAACTAAAGCGGCGGGTCCGCGACGCCATCGAGCCCGGCCGGGACCTAGGACACGTCGACAAGGACTATTCGTCTAGCAAAGCGAAGACGGGCGCGGCGCAGGGGCAAGAAGGTACAAGGGGAGGAGGAGGAGGGGTCGGAACGGGAAATGCAACCGCTGCTCCGTCGAAAGCCGAGGACGAAAATACCCTCGGCTTAAACATCCACCCGGGAGAAACCATCGGCGGCCCGGCGTGTAGGCCGACGACCGAGAGCACGCGGACGAACGCCGCGACGCAGGAGGAGTGCGAGGACTGCAAATGAACATACCTCCTACCTCCTACTTAACCCTCGGCCCTCTCATACCTTCACTGCCGCCACGTCTAGATCTCCTGTGGATTGGGCTGTACTATGCCCACCGACGAGAGAAAAGGAGAGGGCACCATCTAAAAGCCAACCAGCACGCCAGCCAGCCAGGTAGGTGGGTGCGCGGGTGGCACATATCTGGGGTAACTGCAGGCCACCATTATTGGACGTCGGCAGAGCGGCACATATCATCTATATTATTGACCTACCTAACCTAGATAGTTGCCGAGGTAATGCACGATGCGGCATGCAAGAAAGCCAATGCAAAAAAAAAAAAAAAAAAAAAGATGCTGTGACATACGCCTTCCGGACATATCCTACATCACATTGCCATTCCTAACCCCCCTTTTACGCACCTAATTAAGTGAATACACCATGGCGTAGAAAGAATGGCATTTATTATCGACGTCAATGTCTCGGGAATCGTGATCATTAGCATGTACAAAATTAGGTAATTGTAGACATAGCATGTGCCAGGTTAACTAGATCATTAACAGAAAAAGGGTAAGAATTTCCGATTAACTCAACACGACACAAGCACCGAGTGCTCTCTTGGACTACGTACCACAACCATCGTAACTAGCTCAACACGAAAGTCAACAGTACACAAGACCGGGCAAGACAGTAGTAACGGAAATCACTTGGCAACGGGGAGGAGGGCAACAACAGGTGTAAAACCGTGAAGCAGATCATTGCATGAATTCGTAAGTTTCACTTCTCGGGGAAACAAAATTAACTGTCTAGACTTTCTCCCCCTTGTCCCCATGGCCTCACAGACGTAGGGCGAGTGGGCTGAGAACACTCATGGAGACCATTCCAAATGAAAACCTGATTTTATTTCTTTTCTCGCGTAATAGCAACAACCACCATTCATCTCTTTCGTCAGTTCTGAGGTCAAAGTGAGGTTATGAGGACATGTGTGTTTTCGCGGCGGAGGTGGATCGTATATTTGTACTCGAAGCTGCATTATCAAAACGCCCGTTGCGGTCGGAGAGGTGTGTATGTGTGTTTATGGAGACCGGCGGAGGGCGAGGATGACACCAACGGGATCGTTGGTCGAGGACAAGTATCGGGACTCGAAAACGGGCTGGATGCTTAAGAAGCAACTTATCGGGAGCGGCCGAACCTAGAAGACGAGGAAGTTCGTATGAATACTGTTTCTTTAAGACTTGGATGATTGCTTTCTTGGAGATGCGAAACCGCTGCCTCCGAGGCCGCCATGGACGTACTTTTGTTTCTTCTCAGCAGGTTTGAGAATCTAGATGAGGACCAATCGTTAGTCATATATATTCGTATTCGTGTATAGAGTAGAGGAAGACAAACTTGGAAGGAACATAACAAGCTCTCGTCGACGCTCATCATAGCTCCGGCGTTGTCGAACTCTCCGCAGTAATTTGGTGCACTGAACAGAGTGACCAATTGACGCTTCGAGAAGAATTCGTAACCATCTTCCACAACCTGGTGGGCACGGCAGATCAGGTCCATGTCGTGTTTTTGCAAGAACCGAGAGACAACATCAGGACCAAAGGTAAATGAAACGCCACGGTCATTTTCACTCCAGCCCGTGATATCCTTGTCCGGGTCGGACCATAGCAGGTCGCACAGCAGACCGCAGTCAGGAATCTAAAGTATGTTAGTGGTGACTCGGGCCAATGCTGGCAGAGCAAATGACAGTAGAGCTTTGGAAATAGGATATCTTACGTCGGTTGGTCGCATTACTCGGCGGATCTGCTCCATCGAGTTGAGGTCGGGGCTCAGACCACCATGCATCGTGAAGATCTTCTCATCAATGATTGCTGCAATCGGCAGGCAGTTGAAGCAGTCGGTGAATGTCTTCCATAGCTTAATATTGTAGCGGCGCTTGCACTCGTCGTAGAAGCCATAGATACGGTTGATGGACGCACATTCGTGGTTACCCCTTAGGATGAAGAAGTTTTCGGGGTACTTGATCTTGTATGCGAGCAAGAGGCAGATGGTCTCGAGCGACTGCTTGCCACGATCTACATAATCACCTAGGAAAAGGTAATTCGCTTCCGGTGGGAAGCCACCATATTCGAAGAGGCGCAATAGGTCATAGTATTGGCCATGAATATCGCCGCAGATCTATAGCAAAAGGATGTTAGTAACTCGAACAAGGACAGAAGATGTTATCACTAAAGTCATATGCATACCTTGATAGGGGCCTCTAGCTCTAGTAGGATTGGCTGGCTGATGAAGATCTCCCTGGCCTTTGTGCAGAGATATCGAATCTCGGTCTCCAGAAGCTGTACCTGCTTGCCAGGACGGCTACCGCGCACCTCGAGGAGGCGGTCAATAATAGAGTCTAGATCAACGTCGTGTTGATCCGCCATCTTAGATTCCTGACCTGCCAGGTAGTTGGCCCGCGAAAGTTGAGGTGTGTTGAGATCAGGGCCCTAGGGTTGTAGGGGGGGGAGGACCGGGGATCTGGAAGAGTATAGTGGAGCCCGGTATCAATGTATGATGCACTTCTCAGGCCTGCTGGGAGGTTGCGATGTTAGTAGGGCAAGGCACCGATCTATTAGGAACAAAGAGGAAAAGATTAGACAGTTGGGGTACTCGAGGGGGAGGATCTTGGCTGAAAAGTAGGCAGATTTAATCTGAGGTGACGACAAGGTGAGTGGGGAAGAGGGGCCCGGTGGATTATCAAGACCCCAAAAAAAGGGAGACGAAAAAACTCACGATGAAGTGATCCCAGCTAGTAACGGAGCTTTCTAAAGAAGCTCAAGGCTCGCTACTAAATTCAGGAACGCAGAGTCTAGTGGCGATTCTTTACTCTAGCATTAAAAAATTTTGCAATCTCGATAAAAAAGCGAGAATGCTTCGTCTCCTGATTGTTATGCGCTGTTAGGAGGCTGCGACCAGTTCTGATGATAGCTTCGTGGAAAAATTGAAGTCGGTCGGTAAGGTGCAATAAATAGAATGCAGTAATGCTGGATCGGCTTAGCGTCGCTAGTGCGATGAGAAGAAAAAGGTCGTGAATCAAGAAATATTTTTTTCGTACTTTGTATTATAATCGGCCCAGTTTTTGGGACTCGATATTCGCCAGGTGTAGCAGATGTTGCAGAGATGAAGATGGTAGAGGGGCGGCGGTTTGTTGAGAAGATGTGAGTTGGGAATAGGAGCGTCGTCCGTTACGATCGGGGAATTCTCGAGGGGAGTCGTAATAATGGCTGCAAGCCTGCCGTCTGTGGTTACAATTACACAAAGCGCGCAAT